GCCAAGGACAAGGTTTCGTACTCAAGACACCAAAGGGTACGATAGATCACAAACCCGAAGCTGCGCTTTTGAGGAAGAAGATCTTCAACACGCTTGAAGGTATCTTTGTGAAATATGGCGGCAGTACTATCGACACACCGGTCTTTGAGCTGAGAGAGATTCTGGCGGGAAAATACGGAGAGGATTCGAAACTGATTTACGATCTGCAAGATCAAGGAGGAGAGCTCTGCAGTTTGAGGTACGATTTGACGGTGATTTTCGCAGACTCCTTTACACTGTAGCGTCCAGCTCACTTGACAAATCAGGTGCCCTTTGCAAGATACCTCGCGATGAATGGGATCCAATCGATGAAACGATATCACATTGCTAAAGTCTACCGTCGAGATCAACCCGTCATGTCCAAAGGAAGAATGAGAGAGTTTTACCAATGCGTGAGCTCGCTGTCAAGAGCACATAGGAATCAGCTCACCTTTTGTAGGATTTCGACATCGCTGGCCCATCCGACCCCATGGTGCCAGATGCTGAAATCCTCGCCATCGTCTGTGAATGTCTTACTGCTTTGGAAATCGGCGAATACACCGTCAAGATTAATCACCGAAAAATTCTGGATGGGATATTCGAGCTTGCCGGTGTGCCGGCAGACAAGACGAGGAGTATATCCAGTGCAGTTGACAAGCTTGACAAGGTGAGGGAGAATTGTCTACCTTTAATTTTCGCTCATCGTCAATGAAGGCACCATGGAGTGAAGTTCGTAAGGAGATGACTGAAGAAAAGGGCTTGGACGGGAAAGTAGCAGACAAGATAGGAGAATATGTCGGGTTGAAAGGACCAGGATATGACCTTTTGGAGAAACTTGAAAAGGACGAGGGGTTGACAGGCGTCAAATCGGCGAAAGAGGGTCTGCAGGACATGCGGATACTGTTTGAGTATCTTGAGATTTTGGGTGTGTACAACAAGGTAAGAGGGTTCATTCTGTTGTCCAACCGATCCATCGCTAACTATTCTGCTACATAGATGAGCTTTGACATGTCTCTTGCTCGTGGACTCGACTACTATACCGGCATTATCTACGAAGCCATCACCGAGGGTTCAGCTCCTCCATCTGTGTCTCCCATCCCATCAGTCCCACCCACCGACTCAATTACATCCTCGACATCGAAAACACCTGCGAAGAAGCCCAAATCTACCAAGGCTCAGGGTGCTGAGGAGGACGCGGTGGACGAGACAGCCGTCGGCGTCGGTTCGATCGCCGGAGGAGGTCGATACGATAATCTTGTCGGCATGTTTGCTCAATCTGCCGGAAGTGGCAAGACAGACCCTGTACCCTGTGTAGGTGTCAGTATAGGTGTAGAGCGGGTCTACAGTATCCTGGAATCGAAACGAAGAGGAAAAGAAGAGAAGCTGAGAGGGAAAGAAACGGAAGTATTCGTCATGAACTTTGGGAAAGAGGGATTGCTAAAAGAGAGAATGGCTCTCGCCAAGACATTGAGGGATAACGGCATCAAGGTAGGTCCGATCTGGTCGTTTGCATAGTCCTGGTGCGTGATTGCTGATCTGCGAGCGTCCGCTCGTCATCAGGCCGAATACATGTTTAAAGTCAATGCGAAAGATCGAGCTCAATTATCCTTGGTCGATTCAGAGCAGATCCCCTTCGTGGCTATCCTTGCGCCGAAAGAATTGGCAGCAGGTACAGTACGTATCAAGGCGCAACTGGGCAAAGAAGCCAACAAGTCTGGAGATGGGGATGTCAAGGGAGAGGAAGTGAAAATGACAGATGTCGTTCAATACCTCAAAGAAAAGTTGGGTCATTAGGCCTGGCCATGGACGATTTCCCGTGTAGATGCGGGCGGGTCCACGGCACGATTCATACAGATTTCCACATTACGCATGTTTATATTCCGACTAGGGGCTCAAGCGACGAGCTAGTGCGAAGCATGCAGCACTGCATAATGCATTACAGATGACACGCAATACCAATGTCCAGATCGTGAAAAGTCATCAGAAATCGTTCTATCTACCCTGGCCATCCTAAGCCAACTTGACGCGCTCAATGTCCTCCCCTGAATTATCATGTGTCCCCGAGGCACCATTCAAATGAGTTGCATCATGTCGCTCGTGATGCTCCCGCTCTCCTCCCTCCCCTTCCCCCTCCCCTTCCCCCTCCGCATCCTCTTCTCGCTGTGTCCTGGTCCTCTGATCAAACACTCCGCCCTTCAGTCGATTCACGATGTCCAGTATGAACAAGGTCACGAAGGTCTGTATGAAGAACGCGGCGGCGATGATGATTAATGGTGTCTGAGTCCCTAATAGCTGATATATGGGGGCTGTACCGGCCAATATGTCATCCGCAGTTACATTGATAGTCTCAGGGCCAATGTCCAACAGTGTCATGAGACACAAGATGACTCCAGTGCCAAACTGTAGAGAGTGAACAATCCAGTGTCCGATGCCTTCGAATCTGTACCACAGGGTCGATCGGATCGTTGCACATATCAGTACGATGCCCTTGGACGCAAGATCAGCGATCAAAAAATGGATCCGTGATGTCCAGGCTTACTGCTGATGGGAACAACCAGGTAATACCACTCAGGGAAGCTTCGGCGATGATCGTTGACAGATTGATGACGAGATCCGCACTCTCCTGCTGACGTTCAATCAGATCCGGTCCAGTATGGCTAGTGTTGAGGGAGTAGAGCTGATTGTAAGTGTCTTCTGCCTCTTCGGAGGGTTCCACCCCGTAGCTCTGGAGGTGATAGGTTAGATACTGTTCCGAGTGATCGTCCAGTGAAGGCTACCCACCTCAAACGTCACAACAACGATCTGTCCAAAGTATTGATCGCTCAGGATTGTGCCGTCAACTGAGGAATACGATCAAGTCCGCCTCACACAAAGGCTTTAAAGAGACTCACTGGCTGGATCTTGACTCTCTGAAAGGTTCATCAAAATATGATAATGTGTTTCATACCTGCCTCAAGGTGAATCCCAGTATCGCGTAGGGGGGGTTCAAAAAGAACTTACGGCGGCTCAAGGGGAAGTCGACCGAGGAGACTTTCGGTGTACGTTTGGAGAGATTCCGGGACTTCCGTACCATTCGCAATGTAGCTCGTGACGTCTAGGTACTAGATCATGGTCAACCTTAGACATTTGAGCAGTTCCACTCGTACCCACCGAATTGATAACTGCTTGGACGCCGTTGTACACTGACAAGTCGATGACAGTATTGACCATCGCTGCCAGCAGCAATAACAGGGCAAAGTGAAGCGGGAAATGAACACCTTCCCATAGTAGCGCTCGAACGGGCGATACCTTGTCGGACTTGTCGAATCGACCAAACAGGATGTGCCAAAGCATGACGAGGATGAAGATGGCTGTGGAGTATATCAGCACCATAGTGTATATCGTGGACAAAAAACAAATTGTGCCTGGCTCACCCAGTACCAATTGAGCATAAGTGACGGAGACCTTTGCACTGATGCTCGTGATCGTATCGTTCATGGCGCGAATGATCGATATGAAACCTTCACCTCTGAGCTCAAGTCAGCATCTCTCGGTTGATCTCAGAAAGACGAGTGTGTACACTCGTCACCTTACAAGATGATCAAGGTAAAAGCACCGTATCTCTCAGCAACATTTCCACTGTCAATGTTTCCGTGCTGCTTGAGATAGATCTTGACCCGAATGGACAGCAGCTCCAGTAGGATGGAAGCGTACAGCAGACAGATCTGGCACGGGTGATGAGTTCAAAGTTGACGGATCCCCTTGCTCACTTTCGCTTTCACATGCGATGGTGATGTTGAAGGGAGGGTCACAGCTGCCACAATCAATATGCAAGATGCAAAGAACGTCCCTATGGAGATGTAGACCGAAGCCAGTGGCCTTCTCAATCGACGGCCTAACAGCCAGCCTGGACAGTTTAGCAAACAGGGCTCAACATACACAATCACTGTGACTCACAGACCAAGTACTGGACACACATGAGGAATCTAGACGCAGCGTACGCACTGCCTACGGTTGTGAAGCTTTCCAGAGCTTGAGCTAATTTGACGAAAGTCAGAACGAGTGAACCCATGACCGGAGCTGACTCACAATGAGCGATAGACTCCTCATTCGATATCCCCGGCATAGAGCTTGGATCCTGAATGGATCCTGGATTCCATTTCCCACTCCCTGACCCGATGTAAACGAAGACGGCAATCTGGAGTGATTTGACGAAACGATGATAGATATCGTCCGCTTGATATTGGATATCATAGGTCGTCTGGGAGGTCCACACCCAGTGAATAATCACAAAGTACCTATTGAGAGGTGCTCGTCAGCGCTAGAGGCATGCCCGCGACACTTGTCCAAAACTCACGAGAGGAAAACACTGATGGCATCTGGTGTCCTGATTTCGTGCGTGGAAGAGAAGACGGTGAGAACAGCAACGACAACAAGATCTTTGGGGGGGGGGGAAGGTCCGACATCAGAACGCCTGGATCAATGGAGATCATGAAAGACTTGCCATAGAACAAGCTCAACCATTCCGTCGCTTCATCCTCTTCCCTTAACCATTTCCCATCGTTCCCTTCTCTAGGTTTTCGCAACCACGGTAACTTTACAATCTTCTTCTTGTGGACTCCCTCCGATAGAATCGCTCTCCGCCGATGTATAAGATCCTTTCCAATGTGCAAAGGGTCTCTCAAAGATCGATGGTTCGTAGCGGTGGTCGCGGCGGACGAAGGCAGCTGCTTTTCAGAGTACCCACGAGAGTCATTGGTGAGCCGATGGGGGAGATTGGTATCCAAGCGTGGTGGTGTTGACCGTTCATCGTGAGGCGGAGACGACGACATGACTCAGCTTGTCATTCATCCCTACTAGAGGATTGCAGCCGGTGCTATGCCAAAAAAATGAAGGATGGAATTGAGTGTATATATCGAGGAATGAGAAAATCGCCTTCGCTTCCGAAATCTGACCCGGTAAATCACTTTTCGGTCTATCGGTCATCTCATGCTGCATCTGCTTCACGATCCACTTTGCCAAGACGACATTTCAAAATCAGACGATGCATTCTTTTATCATGTCTGACCCCACAAGGGACGAGTCTCCGCCGTGTGAGATAGTTCATCGTCACTTGACGACTCTAATTCCTCCTCTTCCTCCTCATCCGTTTCATCAGCACTCTCATCGTACTCCGGTACGATCGCACTGCGCGGCGGAGCCGTGACAGGAGCGTGCCGTGATGTATCGCTAGACAGCACGTTTCAGCCTATCGAACGCGATGCGTTTCTCAAGTTTTGCCTCACCTATCATCCTCACTATCATTGTCCTCGTCTTCGTCCTCCTCCGTCTCACTCTCACTATCGAGGAACTTGTCTAGATCCTTGAATTTTGCACCTCGAGTACTCGTATGCATCGGGAGTGACCCAGACGGCGAAGAATTCGTGCTTGATCGCGTGATAGAGGCAAAGGATGAAGAGAGATGTTGAGGGATAGGTACAGGTGGAGGCTGAGCCCCACCAGACACCTCCTTGTGATTCGCAGCGGGCTGTACGGGTGTAGGTGGGTGATTCGCAAAGCTAGATGGTACAGGTTTGTTGTGTTCAACTTGCGATTCCCGGAGAGAATAATCAGTCGGATCGTCCGTCCACTCTGGTACAGGCTCATAGCCGGAGAGCTTCTTGTGGATGATACGGGACATGGACCCGACTTCATATTCGCTCGTGCCTGCAATTGAGGTCAGCCTCGGAATCGCTTCTCAAGGCACGAGATGCTCACCCGCGGCAGATACCTCCTTTGCAGTATTCGGTCTGTCCAATAAGACCAACCTGACCTGCTCTCGACGCAAGATGACACCGCCAAGGTCATCATCCTCGTCCTCTTCTGATTCATCGGTGCTCGATTCCGCCTTCAAAGACTTTTGTTCCGCCCTCACACCACGAAGCAAAGCATGCAGAAATCTCGAGCGATCTCGGACATCATAGCTTGCGTCGTAGCGAGCCAGCATGAAGAGGTATTGACTCAATAGCTGCAACTTTGCCGTCGAGGGGCAGAGAGCGAGGACTTTGGCGGCGAGCGTTAGGATTTGCAATTTGACAATTTCAGACTGTCAGATCGTGAGCTCGAGTCGGTCTAAAGGGCTGAAGCTCACTTCTTCGGTAAAGCCCTTGACCCCTTTACGTAGTACGTCCGGTACCCAAGGTGCTACACCGTCCCAGCCAAGACCGCCCTCTGCAGTCTCCTCAGAAGCTGCAAATTGACCAACGAGCCAGAAAACGCTGGCACGCGCTCGAGCGTGAGTGATCGCATCAAGTCCTTTGGCCAGACGCGCTACGAGTCGCCGAGGATTGGTGCCTGTTTCTGTGGAAAATGTACTGGCGGGCAAGGCTAGAATGACGGATTTCAGAGCAATGACGGCCTGTGCGACAAGGGCGTCTACGGTGAGATTAGCCACCTCCTCTGGCCGCCGTATATTGAGCAGACTCACCTCGTGGTGACTTCAACAGCTTCATGAGAAGGTTCAGTCCTGCTGTCTTAGCTTCTTGTTGTGTTTGGATGCCGTGACCGATCGCACGGACAGCCTCTTCAGCGACTTGGTCGTTTGGGAACCGGGTGTATTGCTGGCTGTATGAGATAAGACTGTCGATCTGTTACTTACCTTGCATTCCCTCAAAAAGGCCTTGACGTTTGTAGCAGAGACTAGAGTCGCCAATGCTTTCAATTTGGCGATCTGCACTTGGCTCGACTCGGATGAATGCAGGAAGAATGAGCTGAACCGATCGGCAAATAGCCACTAACAATGGATCAGCCACGACTCAGTTGTCATTCGACTCACCGGTCGCTCCTCCACTATAGCGCCAATGACCTGCCAGGCCATCAAAGCCGATTCATCCTCTGCAGTCGAGGCGAGTTTGAGTAGTGGTGAAACGAGGTTCTCTTGCCCGATTGACGCGTGGCCGGAAGGTGCGAGATGATAGTACATGATAGCTGTACCTAGGACGACGGCGGGATTTCGGGACTGGAATAATGGCTTCGAACAGTGTAGGAGCATAGCAAGGTCCAAGTCGATGCCTGCAAACTCATCGTCGCTCTCGTCCTGCTTCGGGTCGGCTTTTGTGGAGGATTGAGCTCGAGGTGGAGGAGTCGAGCCCGCTCCCTCTGGCTTCTCCAACATGGTTCTCGCGTATCGTGTCAGAAGTTGTAAAGCCACCACCTGTCCCCATTCATCGGCGTCAACCAGGAGACGGCATATATGCCGATAATAAGGATGTAAGAGATCCAGTTGATCAGGACATATTACCAGAAAGGCATTGAGCGTGGCACCGAGAGTCAGGGGAGAGTGAGAAGACAGGAGAGATTGAAGGAGAGGAATGAGTTGATTTAGAGAGCTCGGATCGATGCTACATCTGATAAGCTGGTCCTCGACTCTCATCTCACCTGTAAACTTTCGCTAGACCGCCTGCGACTGTCTTTCGGACCCAGGGATTTCGATCATTGACTAACTTTTTCAAACCGAGCATGACGATACCTAATCAAGGTCAGCTTGAGCTTCGACCGCAGCTTCGACCGCGGCTGCAAACTGACCTTGAATGACCGGAACACGAATGGACGTCAAGACACGCAATGACATGGACCTGATCAATGGTGACGAGTCTGAGAGATCCTTCTGAAACGTATTGATCGATAAGAGCAAGAGATCCGAATTGGTCGATGCACTAAGTACGCGACGCAGCTCAGCCAAGACGGCTTCCTTCGATTGTTTCTCTCGGACTCACAATCTCAAGAGGTAGATGTAGACCAACTTCTTGATCTCTATACTTGTCGACCCCACATTCTTCACCACAACAGCAAAGAAGCTCTCCATGTCTCTGCCTTTGCTCATTCCTGCAATGATCCTCTTCATACCCTCCAGCTTCTCTTGTTCGATCCGGCTATCCAACAGCTTGGAGATCTCTTTGATCTTCTCATCAGACGTAGCTGTATCAAAGTACTTGGCGGAGGACGACGTGGATCCAGTTGTGAGGAGGGAGATATCACGGGTCGTCTCCTGATTCAAGATTTGATCTCAGCAGCTCAAGAGGAAATGTAGAGGGCCAACTCACGTGAAAATTCTCCTTTATCCGGGCTTGAAGCCTGGATAGGGCCGCCATCTTGCTTCCAGCGACCTCAGGCTCCAGATGAGCACTTTCAACGACTGAGGTGCCGGTTGAAGACGCCCGTGACGTCTAATCATCGTCCAGCTTGAATTCTCGGATCCGAAAGAAATATGGCTAGACCACGAAATACCCAAATTCGCTTCTCATTTGTCACTCTGACTGTTCTTGCACTCTTGCTTTGGACCATAAGGAGGTAGCAAACATCATGGCACAGGTCGCGACGGACATCGTGAGTCACTTGATACCGAAAGAATCAGTGCTGATATGTGGCCACTCAGCGCCGGACATTCCCCCGAACCGACGATGTGGTCGTTTCCTACATCGCCGGACTAGTCGATGATGAAGATGAAGAAGTGGAGGACATTCTCGATATGACTAGAGGTATGCTGCAAGGTGGGCCTTCGACCTCAGACTCGAAAGCTCTGGAGTCATTGTGAGTGCTCTGGTTCTGAACAATATCATGTCATAGCTTGACTCATTTTGCTCCGACCCTAGTATGGCCCGCCTGGTGACCTACCTCGAATCGCAATCACATAAAAGAGTTCGTAAATCCACTGCGGTTGCCCGTTTGGACAAAGCCATCGAAATGAGGACTCAGAAAATGTCTGCGACAATCGCTATGACGGGTGCTGTCGATCTCGAGTCCAATACAAAAGGTCAAGCTTCCCGAGTGGATCTGGCGAAATTGGCCAAAGCCGAAGCCAAACTCAAGGCTAAGATTGAGAAACGATCCAAGCGGGACCTGTATCAAGGCTCAAAGCTCATCGACATGCAGAAGAAACAACAGACCTACGAGGAAATGTTTATGAAGGTCAACCCGCTCGACTTGACAGGCGCTGCCAAGGGAAAATCGAAGGATATTCAGCTGTCAAATATCGATGTGTCATTTGCGTCGAACAAAATTTTGTGAGTGATATGGCCGGCGGAAAGATGTCAAAGGCTGACACTATGATGCAGGTCTGGAGCGAACCTCACCATGGCTTACGGCAGACGTTACGGGTTAGTCATCTCTTCAGCATTGGCGTTGTCATGGCTAATTTACCACCCAGATTGATCGGACGAAACGGTGTTGGAAAATCGACTCTCCTAAGGCACATGGCACTAAGAGAGGTTCCGATCCCGACGCATATTTCGGTACTGTGAGCTCCTCAACCATCTGGAGTTCGTTGGCATAGCTGACAAGATCCAGGTATGTCGAGCAAGAAATCGTTGGAGACGATACCTCTGCACTCGACTCTGTGCTTCAAGCCGATGTCTGGCGACACAAATTGACGCAAGAAGAGGCTGAGCTCAACGCACAACTCGAAGCCTTGGAGAAAAGACCAGTCATGCAACCCAATGGCGACGGTGCAGATGCTGTTGAAGCAGCTGCAGCAGATACCAAAACCAAGGACGCAGAAAAGGATGAGCTGTCTCTCCGGCTCGGCGAAGTGCAGAAGAAGCTTGTGGATATCGAAGCTGAGACTGGTCCTGCTCGAGCTGGATTACTGTTGGCTGGTCTAGGGTTCTCGGATGCCGACCAGAAGCTTCCGACGAGGAGCTTCAGTGGTGGTTGGAGAATGCGATTGGCACTTGCGAGAGCCTTGTTTGTCAAGCCTGACGCGAGTGATCTCATCACAGTGTAGAGCCATTGCTGACGATTGTTGCAGCTGCTCATGTTGGATGAGCCGTCCAACATGTTGGATCTCAATGCTATTGCATGGCTTGAAGACTATCTCCAGACCTGGCCAAGTACACTGCTCGTCGTGTGAGTCGACGCTTCGCTCGTCCTGACGATTGCTGACTTGTCGTCATAGGTCTCACGATCGAGCTTTCCTCGATCACGTCGCTACCGATATCATTCATCAACACTCGCAACGACTCGATTACTTCAAGGGCAACTTTACTCAGTTTTACGCAACCAAAACGGAGCGAGCGAAGAACCAACGGAAGGAGTATGAATCCCAGATGCAGTATCGTCAACATCTTCAGGCGTATATTGATCGATGGAGGTACAATGCCAACCGAGGTGCGGTTGTTTTTTAAACCGGGGAACCGGGTTCCTGCTGACACATGCCCCCTAGCTCCCCAAGCTCAGTCCCGTATCAAGATTCTTGAAAAACTTCCAGTTCTTGAGCCACCGGAGGAGGATGACTCAGAAAGCTTCAAGTTCCCTGACCCTGAGAAGCTTTCACCGCCACTGCTGCAATTGGACGAAGCGACTTTCGGATACACCAAGGAGAAGATTATTCTCCGCAACGTCAATATCGATATCAATTTGGATTCTCGGATAGCCATTATCGGACCGAACGGAGCTGGAAAATCGACTCTCATCAAGTTGCTCATTGGATCTGTTCAGCCTTTGAACGGAACGGCGAATCACAACAATCGATGTCGTATCGCCTACTTTACCCAGCATCACATTGATCAATTGGATCTCAACGCCACGCCAGTCGGATTCTTGCAAAATCGATTCCCTGGTAAAGTTGAGCAGGAGTATAGATCTCACCTCGGTTCATTCGGAATCACTGGTTTGACGGGTCTCCAAAAGATTGGAACGTTATCTGGAGGTCAGAAGAGTAGAGTGGCCTTTGCCGTTCTCAGTATGCTTAGACCTCACATCTTGTTGTTAGATGAGGTAGGTCCCGATGCGGCCCCGTCCGTTTCTCCAGCACAGGGGCTGATTCTCCATCTAGCCATCCAATCATTTGGATATTGAGGGGATGGATGCGCTTATCGAAGCCATCAAAGTATACAAGGGAGGTGTCATCAGTATCAGGTGAGATCGTGACGGCACTCGTTTTTCTCTTCATCGGGGCTCAGGCTGAATTCATAATGTCCAGTCACGACGAGCGATTCATCACCAATACCTCGAATCAGGTGAATGAGCCATGACCAAAAAAAAAAAACGCTGATAGACTATTGCTCACCGTTGCCTTTCAGCTCTGGGTATGTGCCGAGGGCAAAGTCACCAAGTACATGGGCGACGTGACAAGCTACAAAGTGCGTTCTCCTTGACAGTGTTCCTTCGTGTGATTCGCAGCTAACATTGTTTCCAGGAACTTATACTGGACAATATCAGGGCCAAGACTCGACCTTGATCAGACGACAATGCGGCTTGCCCGCCCAGGTACAAGCTTGACGCTGAGAAAATGGCGCTCAAATCGTAGGGAATCCGATGGGGTTTACGGGCTATTAAAATCATGCATGTTCATTCCTTTCCAATGATTTACCGTCAGAAGTCACACACAGGAAGGCCCATCGCACCTCTCAATCAGTCTCTGGACTTTGATCCACTCTCAACATACTTCTCTCATGCTGAAAGTCAACAGCACATTTGGGGTCCCAACTCAGGGGAGAGTGCCTGATTTGTACCGCTATCTCTAAGGAGAAAGCATGCATCCAGCCTAAGCGAGTCGCGCTGTGTCGCGCTTGCACGCGTGCAGAGGTGAAACGATTCATGCAAGTATGCGCGTGTATTCATACATACCACGGGGTAGCAAGTCTTCTTCTTCATCTACATGCACCCAATGGCTGTGTGCTTGTTTCTGTTTGACTCCTCCTGGGTTGGTTCGGCTCTTCAAATCCTCCAGCATGTCATTCTCAGCTCTGGCCCCCGTAACGTCGATGTAGAAGAACAAGAAAGGGGAAGATAAAGTATGTCTATAGGCTGGAAGTCGAGTGTTGGGAGAGGATAATTAAGAGGGGAAAATTTGAATCACTTGCTCCCTTCGGAACTCCACGGCCCTGTTTGATTAGGGCACGAGAAGTGTAGGGCAAGGTTGATGAAGAATAAAAGAGAGAAACAAAACAGCCAATGAAGCCGGAAATCACGGGACAGCAGGGCCTTGAGAGGAAACGGCGTAAGGTGCATGGCGTTGGTAGGTAGGGGACGAAGCATGTCGTTGCAAGAGGATAAATGAAGAACATGAGAAGAGGGGAAACGGACGATTGAATGAAAATAAGGGTCGGTGAAGAGAGAGAGAGAGAGAATGTCCATCGTAGCCCAGAGAGGAGAGCAGCCCAGAGATCAAGTCGAATCCAAAACTCATGATGTCGGTGCTACTTCTCCGGTGATCGGTCCCTCGGCTTCGTTCTGAGTGATATCTCCGAGGTTGTGGAAGTCTGCAGAGGGTGTGAGCCGATCGCATGACAGCAACGACACCTGACTTACCCAAGATTTCACTGTACATCATGACCTTCCATGTGTCTACTGGCAGGTCGGCGTCATTGAAACTCCAGTCAAAGACTTCAGCGGCGACCGGCTCGTCTGTCGGGTCGTGGTATGGTGCAAGGTACTCGTGAGCCAAGCCTTCCGCCGCGGAGATACGGGTGCGCGGGTCGAATACCAGCATCTTCTCCAGCAAATCGAGGGCTAGCGTAGTGTAAGCACTGAATGCTGGTCGTTTGAATGACCACTTACACAAAGGATCCGCATTGGCGAATTTGGTGGCGAATGGCACTTTTTCACGTTTCGGCAAGCTCTGAACGAATCGAAGTGTCTAGAAGAGAGGGGTCAGAAACGCTTAGAATAGCGACGATGTCCCCCACGTTTTCACTGGCAATAGTCTTGATTACGTCGTCTGGCGGGGTTCCGAGGAGCTCTGTGATAATAGAGAACTGGTTCACGTCTAGACCATCATCAGCTTGATCGACGATGCCGGGCAAAGCCACTTACGGTCCTTTCCAGGGAATAGTGGTTTTCCCTCCAGCATCTCAGCGAAGATACATCCTGTGCTCCAGATGTCCACTGCGCAGCGTCAGCAAGTGTGTGCGTGGAAAAGGCAATGTGACCCACCCGCAACATCATACTTTTGCCATGTCAACATGATCTCAGGCGCACGGTAGTATCGAGTAGACACGTATCCTGTCATTTGAGGGTCTTGAATACGAGCAAGACCAAAGTCACAGATCTAGATGACTTGTGAGTCGAGACCAAACGGCAAGAAAGAACTGAGCGGCTCACCTTCAAATCGCAGTTCTCGTTGACCAGAATATTGGACGGCTTCAGATCTCGATGGATGACACCCGCCGAGTGAACGTATTTTAATCCTCTCAGGATCTGATACAGGAAGTACTGGATGAATTGCTTTTCAAGGGGTCGGGAGGTGAGTAGACGATGGAGATCGGTTCCCAACAGTTCAGTGACAAAATAACTAGACGTTGTGAGCTTGAGCCAAAGCGGAGAACGGAGAAGCTCACATGTCCTCCAACGGGGAGATGAAGATATCGCTGAGTGATATGATCTACACGCAGGGTCAACGAGAGCTCTGCAAGTATAGCGAGCCGCAAAACCACTCACGTTCTCGTGTTTAAGATGCTTTAGCAGCTTGAGCTCTCGGTACGTCCGTTTACTAAGCACGGGTGTGGAAAAGGGCTTCATAATTTTCTTCACGGCAACCGATGTTCCAGAGAGCTGGTCCTTGGCGGAGCTGCGAGCGAGACGGAGCAACATAGAGAGGCAGAGGCGAGTAAATGAAGGATGGGGAGGGACGGAGACGGCCATGTCAGCACAGCCGATTTCGACACTCGTAGTCTCCAATCGAGAACCCACCAAACCAATCCGAAAGCTCCCATGCCCACCGGTTGAAGGTCTACATATCGCGTGGTGACCTCAAAGACCTGTGAAGACGCGTGAGCAACGTCCAAATCACGACTCGAGACACTCACTGTCCCGAAGATGGACAGTTTGACGAAGTCGGCCATGGTATAAGAAGGTCGGCCAAAGGGGACTGTGCGAGCAGGAAATGAAGACGCAGCAGAGGCAGCAACAACGTGGGGGCGAAGAAGAGGCCAAAGAAGCACAGGTTGATAAAGGGATGAAGAGGTAAGGTGTCGCCAGAAGGAATCAAAAGCGAAGGTCGACAAAGCAGGATATAGTGTCAGCGTTTGAGGAAGTTCGACAAGAGAATGTGCAACGCCTTTTTTCTCCTCCGTTTCCCTTTCCATCCTGTGATTCTGCGACGACAAGGTAGAGAACTGGAAAGACTCACAGATGACGTGTACTGGTAGGATGACCTCTCTCGATGTGATCTATTCTGCCTTTGACTCTAGCTTGTGTCTCGACACCAATAGAATCTGTGTGTTGGATTTTATTGAAATCGATCGTTGCTGGGTTGCACGAAGGATGACGCTGTTTTATAGAACCGCGGCGTATGCTCCAGATAACACACGAATGCCTGGATGTCTCCACTGTCTGATCTAGCTAGCAGCTGTCCGGTTTCCCAGAGATGGCGCGCAGAGAAGGACACAAGGTTGATAAGAGAGAGAGACACAGAGCAACGATGACTGAGTTGACGGCTCGGTGAGAAATGAGAAGAGAGAGGGGAGCTTATGATCAGCTACACACCCAGGCAGCGTAAGTAAAAACGTAAAGAAACACGCGGGCCCTGGGAGGAAGCAGCTTTCTGCGGGTCTTGCGCCCCCAGCCCACACACACCCACACAAGCCCTTACCGTTCCCGGCTGCGGAGTTTTCACTCAATGTGGCACTCGAAAACCTTTTTTCTCCACGGAAGCATAAAATGGGAATCATAATACTTTGCCAGAAAATGCTAATACTTCCACCCCCCCCCCGAATTAACCTTGTCATATTTCTAATGGAAAGAATGCAAATTCCAGCAAAACTCCCCCCCCTGTCCCCCCTGTCCCCTCACAAGGTCCAGAACGTTTCCCAGGATTCCCCGTGAGGCGGGAATCGCCGGGGAGGATCAGCTGGAATGCATACCTATGCAATGGCAGGGCAGCAGCACACGCGGAGACTCGGAGAAGCCGCAGTCGCCTTCTCCTCTATACAAAGATGATCCGTATCATCGAGTGCCGATGGAGCCGCTCCCATGTATATGCCACAATGGTCTGTCATTGCTGGATGGCCAAGCTCATTTGCAGGACGAAACACGACCAACTCTGCGAAGATGTGGCACCTCACCTTTCATTAGCTTGACTACCATCTAATGAGGAGCTTGCAGCGATACGACCGTCGCTGACGCTGATGCCAACACTACTACCAGGACTGATGCTGCTATCATGTCTGCTGCTATTGTCCCCTAGGCCGGTCGTCCCGCCCTCATCGGTCGCCTGCCAAGGCGTAGATATCCTCAACGCGGACATCCCATCTGGCCCCGGCAGAGCCTGTTCTGAACCCCTTTGAACAGTCATCAATGGTAATACGTCTCCGATCCCATCCTGATGACCTAATGACATCCATCCAGCTTTTAATCCGTTGGAAACGACAGTCTCCAATATACGTTGGATATTCTCATTTCTTGTGTGGTAAATGCAAATCAGCACTACCCACCGAGAAAGAGCTGTCCTCACCTCTCTCTCATATCGTCCAGTGTTTTACTCCATTTCCCGTCATCTTCTATCAAGCCTTTGATACTCCCTAGATCCGCTTCTAGCCTTTCTAACCGGTCCGAGACGTCGTCTCGCCGTTTACCTTCTTTCCGTGAGGATCGCCATGATTCACCGACAACGAGACCCGCACCGACCAGAAAGAGAAAGGATTCGGCGAGGGTCGTGGCACCGTTTTGAATGGCCCTAGGGAGGAGATCGTGACGGCAGCAGCAGAGAGAAAGTGGTTCAGGGAGGATCAAGTTCCAGAACGTGTAAGGGTGAGAGCGAATGAAGGGAAGGTGTACGAGCAGCATGTCGTGGTCAGCTTGGCGCTCATCTCCCGCTCCTATGCCGCCCACCTGGTATCATTCAATGGCTTGATGTTCTGGGCGGACTCGTTGAGCAGACCCATCCGAAGTCTGGCTTCGGTCCTGTGCATGCGCTAGAAATCGTCAATCAGGTTGTGTGACCTTCGCTCAAGCAGTAGTCCACCACACCTGAGCCAGACCAATGCACAGCCGTCTAAACGACTCATGCCTGATGACGAAGTCAGCTCTCTGTCTCTTATACTTGTAGGGACTCACTCTGATGCTTGAGCCTTGATGGTATTCGCAATGGGTTTCGCGAGGGTCTTACAGTGCACTTCAGCTCTGTCTGTCGACCTGCTGTCGCCGAACTCACCCGCACGACCAAGCTGAATATCTTGACCGAGGCCATCTCGCAGAGGCGTAGGATCAATACCTAACTTGGCGTTCAAGTATGGTTTCGTGGTTGTCCAGGGCAGTTCATATGTACATTAGATTGAAAATGGATGCAGCGGTGACGAAATCGACACAAGCCCCCGGCAAACGCGCTTTAATATCCGCCTCGGCAAATGGATCCAAAGTATGGGCCATTGCAGAAGCAACTTTGATGCGATGCGGGTCGATAAGGTGAGCTGTCAGGACATCTCCACCATCGGATCGTACCTGCCAAGTAATGGCAAACTCGGACCAGGCTTATCATACCAGCCCACGCCGATTCTCAGTCCTCCACACTCCGCAACTGGCATTTCAGTATTTACGGAGATGAAAGAACATCAGCCAGCTGCAGCAGGGGCGTTCAGTCTTGCCCTTGGCTCCTCCGCAGTAGTAGTTGATCTATACCCCCTGACGACATGCATGCGAAGATACCACATGCTCTGAAAGTTGTACCTGCGCTGTGAAGGATCGTCTGGCCCGTGATGATCTCGCTCCCATGCACACTCCTCTCAAAGACATCATGAACTTTTTTTTAGGTTGGGTCGCTATCCTGCTGCCTGGCGTACTAACTGCATCCATTGGTGCTGTAGGAGCTGTAGCCAAGACACCCCTTTTAGCCATGTATTCAGTTCACGGATGGTACGCCGAGTGTTATGGGCAGTTGGAGCAGAGGTAAAAAGCCTAATACTTCACGGTGGAATGTAATTAACAACACTGCCCAGATGCGCCCAAATGCCCAAATGTGTGTGGCGTCGTCGCCCGATCACCTACCTTTTCGGAGTACGGTGAGCAGATGCGAATATTGTACGCCATGTCTGCAAAGAGTAAAAAGGGTGGAGCGTCGATCAGTTAGGTTTGTCCGACATGCAGTTCATCCTTGTGAACATACAGTACTTAGGTATACAAAGAACGGATCATTCAAAGGGAGTCTTTCCCACCCGAGTCCACCGGCCTCCTCCTTTGTTGAACTGTGTACGATTTTGAAACTCGTCAAGGGATCTCTGAGCGTCGGCCATTTCTGAGGGACAAACAGACGGGAGTGATTATCGACAGCTGCTGGGCTGTACATGCTGCTCAGAGAGAGCACGGTTCGCTCTTGACATCGTGTCCGGAAAAGACTGAAGAATCACACCACACCCAAAAGGGCAAACTTTCCTGTCCACATGCCACGACTATCATTGACCGAGATGGCGAACCAAACTACGGGTGTTCAGCTTACTCAAACCCGACGGATGGTCCTGATGCTTGTTGGTGAGCGCACTAGACGTTCCTGTGTCGCCTCAATAAGGGGCTGACGAGAGCTGCTCAAGGCCTCGCGATCATCATGTTCTCCCTCTTCGCTCTCATCGCTTCAGATACGGACAAGTGGTCGAGACATCTAGAGACGCTCAGCGATAAGTGGCAGTATGCCGTGGTGAGCGAGCGATACGAGTGAAACATCTTGAAACTCCCTCCGTACTGACTGACATTTTGCCTATGAAGCCCAACCGTCCGTCGAGGATTGTGCCACACTGCACTGGGCTGGAAAGTGAGCCGACAATTATGCTAGGAGATCTGCCAGGTTTCCTCGTGCTTGATAACCTGTGGTTCCACGAAGACACATTCTGTGAGTCCATCCCTCTGCAGTATATATACACTCTGTCGTATCATGCTCACTTAGACGGTCCTCAGATCTGTTCGCTGAGAAGCCTGAAGATATGCCGGACAAAGACCGGGCGATGTCCGGTCCCTTCGGCTGGGAAGTCAGGCCATTCGAAGACATGCCCTTGCTGTTTGAGAGGAATCAGTCGATATGTCTGGAAGGGTCGTCTCGTGAGTCCAAAGAATTACTCAGTCAATCCCCACGAATTGCCTTCTGACCTCCTATAGTTCTTCTCGTGGACCATCCGCAATGGGGTGAAGACGGTCAATATACCGGTTACTCACACTACTATCACCTCTTCGGGGAAGGGTTCATGGGAGCTTTGGCAGCGCTCGAAGCTGCCGTCGAACCCATTGTCGACCAAAGTCGACCAGAATTAGGCGAATCACTCTGGCCACAGCCGTACCTGAATACGACCATTGACAGCCGATTCAGAAGCGAAGAATATACTTGGGCACATGGAAAGGCACATCATGGAGTAGAATTTGATCGAATGGTCATACCTTGGATCAGCGATTGGAGAGATTCTCACGGTATCAACTCGTTCTTGTTCAATCATATCTACGGGAAGAGTGAGTCGAAGCAGAGTAGTGTTTCCCGATCTGAAAGTGGCGGTCGCTGATGGTGTGATCTTTATTTAAAGCTACCGTGGAGGCTGCCGAATGGGAAGAATGGAGAGAGGAAGGTCTATGGGTCTCAATGCGTCGAGGTGAGTATTCAGCCCCTTGATTCCGGCCAGCTGGGTGGGTGTCAAATGGTCTAACTCGGTCGTTGCACTGCAGTGGTGATTGCAGACCGATGGGCTGCCGCACGATATAGTCCGCCAGTGGAAGGCTGGTATCGACAAGCCTTGTCAGCATTATCCCTACCATTCTCTCATCTCTTCTTCGAGCGGACTCGAGCCAAGCTATTGAATTCATTAGAGATCCCGGCGTTACTCCGTCCGTCATTGGGCAAATCGCTTCGGAAGATCCCCAAGATCCTTTACGTCTCGAGACAATCTTCCAATAGGAAATTTACAGAGCAGACGCATAATGCCCTGATGGATGTCTTGTCCCATTTTGAGGAAACGGGCAAAGCAAAGATCGATTATGTCAAATGGGAAGGACTGTCAAAGAAAAGTCAGGTCAAAATGAGCTCCGATGCCGATGTGAGTGACACGTTTCTAGAGCTACAGTATTTTGCAAAGCTGGCTGGCTAGGGCAGCCTTTTGCTGATGATCTTGTGGTCGTAGATTTACCTCGGTGTTCATGGGAATGGAATGACTCATCAGCTGTGGATGCCACCAGGTGGTAAAGTCGTCGAAGTGGGTCTCAGTCGAGCATCATCTTTTCTTAGCTTTTAAGGATCAACGCTGAATAGATACCACACCTCAGTGCTTCCCCCTGGATACGTTTACAAGAGATTATCAGATCATCGCCGAATTCTTAGGGCACGATCATCACCTCATTGTAAATTTGTCACACGCTTTCGTCCCCCTAGAGCCCCATCAGCGCTGACGCGTTGACTTTCCCTAGTGGGGCAATAGAGTCGTACCGCAGACAGAATGGGATGAGGGTCAAGCAGGGGACTATTCATCCATATGGAGTGGGCGACCCATCCCTGTGAGTAACCATTTTGCCACGCCACATCCCATTCCCCAGTATTGATCTTTATTTTCTTAAGCTCGACGTGGATTTCATGCGGAACTTACTACAGAATCTCTTGAATGAGATGATACTTTGAATCTGGAATCCAAAAGGGTCATCAATGGCATGGGCCAGTTGTAAGTTTCCAACCTATGGTTCTAGAAGTCCTGTGGAAAGCAATGAATACCACATCAAAAGTGGCTCGCATAGCGTAGTACTGTGTATGTACGACTCCCCCGGATGCCTTCTGTAGACTCCAGGTGGATTCTGCAAGGGTTTTGTTCCCCGGGGCCGATGCATGGGCTGAGTGCCCAGGTGCATGCAATGAATACAACAAAATC